CTTTTACACATATTCAAACTATCTACTGTGCTCAATATAAACATTAACTCAGAGCTTACATTCTATCTGGAGATGCAACAGGACACAGGAAAAAGCAAACCTCTGGCCTTGTATTTGGTTTAAAATAGCAACTTAGATGGGTTTTCTAGGATAGTTTTAGTGGCTGTTTCTTGGTATCAATTGACAGAATGGAAGATGTACTGCTCAAATAGGGATGAGTTTGGTTGGTTTCAGGACTGGAAGTTGCTTAAAATCAAGCTCAAAATAGTGAAAGTATATATAGGTAGTAGGTTGGTAGACAGCAACCACCCAGGGAAGTACTACCGTCCTACCAGATGACTGTGAAACAGAAACCTGTAACTGTTTTGCATGATGGTAGGATTGCTGGTGTCTTTTTCTGTCTCATAAACACACTAGATAACAGGGATATCTTGTTACTCCTACTTACACTTTGGTCACACTTCACAGACACGCACACGCACACGCACACGCACACGCACACGCATCCATCCATCCATCCATCCATCCATCCATCCATCCATCCATCCATCCATCCATCCATCCATCCATCCATCCATCCATCCATCCATCCATCCATCCATCCATCCATCCATCCATCCATCCATCCATCCATCCATCCATCCATCCATCCATCCATCCATCCATCCATCCATCCATCCATCCATCCATCCATCCATCCATCCATCCATCCATCCATCCATCCATCCATGTTTTTCTCCTTTTTCTAAATAGCTCTTGTTCTTCTTTATTTCTTCTATTGTCCATGGGGAAGTGGAAAAGAATCTTTCCTCCGTAAGCCATGCGTGTCATATAAGGCAACTAAAATGCCGAGAGCGATGGGCTAGTAACCCCTTCTCCCGTAGACATTTACTAAAAAAGAGAAGAAAAACTTTATGAAACTGGGATGCTTGAATGTGCGTGGATGACAAGAAACAGATGATTGCTCATGTTATGAATGAAAAGAAGTTGGATGTCCTGGCCCTAAGCGAAACAAAGCTGAAGGGGGTAGGGGAGTTTTGGTGGGGGGAAATAAATGGGATTAAATCTGGAGTATCTGAGAGAGTTAGAGCTAAGGAAGGGGTAGCAGTAATGTTGAAAGATCAGTTATGGAAGGAGAAAAGAGAATATGAATGTGTAAATTCAAGGATTATGTGGATTAAAGTAAAGGTTGGATGCAAAAAGTGGGTCATAATAAGCATGTATGCACCTGGAGAAGAGAGGAATGTAGAGGAGAGAGAGAGATTTTGGGAGATGTTAAGTGAATGTGTAGGAACCTTTGAACCAAGTGAGAGAATAATTGTGGTAGGGGATCTGAATGCTAAAGTAGGAGAAACTTTTAGAGAGGGTGTGGTAGGTAAGTTTGGGGTGCCAGGTGTAAATGATAATGGGAGCCCTTTGATTGAACTTTGTATAGAAAGGGGTTTAGTTATAGGTAATACATATTTTAAGAAAAAGAGGATAAATAAGTATACAAGATATGATGTAGGGCGAAATGACAGTAGTTTGTTGGATTATGTATTGGTAGATAAAAGACTGTTGAGTAGACTTCAGGATGTACATGTTTATAGAGGGGCCACAGATATATCAAATCACTTTTTAGTTGTAGCTACACTGAGAGTAAAAGGTAGATGGGATACAAGGAGAATAGAAGCATCAGGGAAGAGAGAGGTGAAGGTTTATAAACTAAGAGAGGAGGCAGTTAGGGTAAGATATAAGCAGCTATTGGAGGATAGATGGGCTAATGAGAGCATAGGCAATGGGGGTTGAAGAGGTATGGGGTAGGTTTAAAAATGTAGTGTTAGAGTGTTCAGCAGAAGTTTGTGGTTACAGGAAAGTGGGTGCAGGAGGGAAGAGGAGCAATTGGTGGAATGATGATGTAAAGAGAATAGTAAGGGAGAAAAAGTTAGCATATGAGAAGTTTTAACAAAGTAGAAGTGATGCAAGGAGGGAAGAGTATATGGAGAAAAAGAGAGAGGTTAAGAGAGTGGTGAAGCAATGTAAAAAGAGAGCAAATGAGAGAGTGGGTGAGATGTTATCAACAAATTTTGTTGAAAATAAGAAAAGTTTTGGAGTGAGATTAACAAGTGAAGGAAGCCTAGAGAACAAATGGATTTGTCAGTTAAAAATATGAGAGAAGAGTTATTAAATGGAGAGTTAGAGGTATTAGGAAGATGGAAGGAATATTTTGAGGAATTGTTAATTGTTGATGAAGATAGGGAAGCTGTGATTTCGTGTATAGGGCAAGGAGGAATAACATCTTGTAGGAGTGAGGAGCAGCCAGTTGTGAGTGTGGGGGAAGTTCGTGAGGCAGTAGGCAAAATGAAAGGGGGTAAGGCAGCTGGGATTGATGGTATAAAGATAGAAATGTTAAAAGCAGGTGGGGATATAGTTTTGGAGTGGTTGGTGCTATTATTTAATAAATGTATGGAAGAGGGTAAGGTACCTAGGGATTGGCAGAGAGCATGCATAATTCCTTTGTATAAAGGCAAAGGGGACAAAAGAGAGTGCAAAAATTATAGGGGGAGAAGTCTGTTGAGTATACCTGGTAAAGTGTATGGTAGAGTTATTATTGAAAGAATTAAGAGTAAGACGGAGAATAGGATAGCAGATGAACAAGGAGGCTTTAGGAAAGGTAGGGGTGTGTGGACAAGGTGTTTACAGTGAAACATACAAGTGAACAGTATTTAGATAAGGCTTATGAGGATTTTGTGGCGTTTATGGATTTGGAAAAGGCGTATGACAGGGTGGATAGGGGGGCAATGTGGCAGATGTTGCAGGTGTATGGTGTAGGTCTGTAGGAGGTAGGTTACTGAAAGCAGTGAAGAGTTTTTACGAGGATAATGAGGCTCAAGTTAGAGTATGTAGGAAAGAGGGAGATTATTTCCCGGTAAAAGTAGGCCTTAGACAAGGATGTGTGATGTCACCATGGTTGTTTACTATATTTATAGATGGGGTTGTAAGAGAAGTAAATGCGAGGGTCTTGGCAAGAGGCATGGAGTTAAAAGATAAAGAATCACACAAAGTGGGAGTTGTCACAGTTGCTCTTTGCTGATGACACTGTGCTCTTGGGAGATTCTGAAGAGAAGTTGCAGAGGTTGATGGATGAATTTGGTAGGGTATGCAAAAGAAGAAAATTAAAAGTGAATACAGGAAAGAGTAAGGTTATGAGGATAACAAAAAGATAAGGTGATGAAAGATTGGATATCAGATTGGAGGGAGAGAGTATGGAGGAGGTGAATGTATTCAGATATTTGGGAGTGGACGTGTCAGTGGATGGGTCTATGAAAGATGAGGTGAATCATAGAATTGATGAGGGGAAAAGGGTGAGCGGTGCACTTAGGAGTCTGTGGAGACAAAGAACTTTGTCCTTGGAGGCAAAGAGGGGAATGTATGAGAGTATAGTTTTACCAACGCTCTTATATGGGTGTGAAGCATGGGTGATAAATGTTGCAGCGAGGAGAAGGCTGGAGGCAGTGGAGATGTCATGTCTGAGGGCAATGCGTGGTGTGAATATAATGCAGAGAATTCGTAGTTTGGAAGTTAGGAGGAGGTACGGGATTGCCAAAACTGTTGTCCAAAGGACTGAAGAAGGGTTGTTGAGGTGGTTCGGACATGTAGAGAGAATGGAGCGAAACAGAATGACTTCAAGAGTGTATCAGTCTGTAGTGGAAGGAAGGTGGGGTAGGGGTCGGCCTAGGAAAGGTTAGAGGGAGGGGATAAAGGAGGTTTTGTGTGCGAGGGGCTTGGACTTTCAGCAGGCATGCGTGAGGGTGTTTGATAGGAGTGAATGGAGACAAATGGGTTTTTAATACTTGATGTGCTGTTGGAGTGTGAGCAAAGTAACATTTATGAAGGGATTCAGGGAAACCAGCAGGCCAGACTTGAGTCCTGGAGATGGGAAGTACAGTGCCTGCACTCTGAAGGAGGGGTGTTAATGTTGCAGTTTAAAAACTGTAGTGTAAAGCGCCCTTCTGACAAGACAGTGATGGAGTGAATGATGGTGAAAGTTTTTGTTTTTTCGGGCCACCCTGCCTTGGTGGGAATCAGCCAATGTGTTAATAAAAAAAAATATATATAATTTTTTAGGATTTTTCTAAGGATGGGTAAGGCCTCCCTACTTCTCTGAATCTCTTTTATGGGTTTTTACTAAGTCTGCTTGAATTACTGAGATGCCCTAAACCATGATCAATCATTCCTGGTTATATTCTATTATCCAAGAAATGGGGTAAAACTTAGATTTTTTTTTTCTGTATGACAAATTTAAAATGTAAGGCAAATTAACACAGGAGAGGCCTAGGGATGTGATTAATGATTTCTGTGCCCTTTACAGGATAAATCTTCTTCAACAAACTGGCCGTATCCCACTGAAGCAGGGTGGCCCAAAAAGAAAAACAAAAGTTTCTCTTTTTAACCATAGTAATGTATACAGGAGAATGGGTTTACAGGATAAATCTGGTGATTAAATGGTTGGTTTCTTGTGTTCAATCGACAGAACAGAAGGCATACTAACAAAATGGCTAAGAATTCAGTCAAAATGAGCAATGGAACTGGCTTAAAACAGGACTTAAAGTAGGCAAAAATTTGTGAAGCATAAATTGTGCCCAGATTGCCAGCTTTGCACCTGCATAACTCTTTAAAGTTTTCTTTTAAATATGTTTTTGGTGTCTAAAAGAAAAGCATTTAACAAAGCAACAAACTGATAATGATACCAAAACAGAAGTAAAGCTAGGTAAGTGATTACAGGCTGACTCTGTACTGTGAAATGCAGAAGACAGGGATAGTATTTCTGTGCCAGGAAAAATTCTGACTCATTCTGGATTTTACTACACCACTTACCAATTACTGCTTACAGAATTTTGGAAATAAGACACTGAAAGAAGAAACAATCAGCATTTGAATAACTAGTTTACATAAAAATTGGACGAGATTAAAAATTACTTATAATTAATGAATCCTCAGACACAATTTAGAATACTAACCACATTTCAGGTGGAGGAATTTTCCAGGACAGAATCTCAGCAACCCAACATGTTGACATGAGCACCAGGAGAGAGAACTGCTGCTTGAAACTGCAGAGCAAAAGTTCATGTAATAAAGCTACTTGCACCAGGGATGAATATGGTGAATATATACAGTATTTGCAAAATTCTCATCCAAACACCTTAAAAAAACTAACAATTGAAGCAGTCTACAGGTTACCTCACACAAATACTTACACACTGAGTGATAACCTAAGAAAGATAACCGACTCAGAAATGAATAAACATCACCTGATACTTACAAGAGACTTCAACATAAACCTCATCCAAGAAACTGACCCTCCAGTAGCTGATTTCACAAACACTATGAACAACTGCTTGCTGCTACCATTTATAACTAAGCCAACAAGAATCTCTGAGACAAGTGCCTCATTACTTGACCATATCTGGATTAATACTATATCCCCACTAAAAGCTGGAATAATCACAGACAACACCACAGACCATTACCCCACCTTTTTCATAACAAACTTATGTAAATTGCCTCAAGACACGATTAAGATCACCTTGCGACTACATGACGAAACATCAGTAAATAACTTCATTTCAGCATTAAGTGACAATGACTGGCAGAGACAGCTTGCAGACAGCCACAATACTGGTCAAATTTTTTTTCCTCAAATCCATTGATAAAAAACATCTACATGAAAAACAGTCCAGACTGGGTCTAATAACAAAAGAACAGACAGAATGATACATTTCAATACTTACTAATCTAATACAGAAGTCTAAACAACTGTACGTATTATGCAAGCAAACAGATTTCATGAAATAAAAGAAGATATGAATACGACCTGGAAAACCCTTTCTGAAATTTTGGGCAAAAGAAAACTATCCAGAAAAAGAGATATTAACGAGATGAATCTCACATTCATCCTATAGACAGTGCCAACAAACTTAATGTCTTTTTCTCTACTGCAGGATTAAAACTAGTGAGCAAAATCCCAAACTCAAATACGTACTCCGGCGAAAGATTACCTTACGGAAAATTACCCAAATCCTACTCAAGTCTCTCTCACTCATTACATAACAAGGCAAGAGACCTAAATAACTTGCCACCACTCGTGTACAAAAGAATAGATCTTATGCTGTCCCCCATTACTTCAACTCTGTTTAACAAATCTGTGGAATCTTCAACCTTCCCATCTATACCCAAGACCAATCCTCAAAGGAGGTGATCCAACTGAACTGAATAGCTAAGGACCTATATCAAACTTGCTTTTACTATCTAAATTCTTCGAAAAAACAATACTCAAGTAAATTTACTCCTATCTAATATCCCACAACATACTTAAGCCCAGTCAGTTTGGGTTTAGGCTGAAAAAATGTACAAATGATGCAATTATACAAATACTCAAATTACTACTATATATACATCACTCCTAGGTAGTAGGATGGTAGACAGCAACTGCCCAGGGAGGTACTACTGTCCTGCCAAGTGAGTGTAAAACGGAAGCCTGTAATTGCTTTACACGATGGTAGGAATGCTAGTGTCTTTTTCTTCTGTCTCATACACATGCAAGATTTCAGGTACGTCTTGCTACTTCTACTTACACTTAGGTCACACTACAAACACATGTACAAACATATATATACACACCCCTCTGGGTTTTCTTCTATTTTCTTCCTAGTTCTTGTTTTTGTTTATTTCCTTTTACCTCCATGGGAAAGTGTAACAGAATTCTTCCTCTGTAAGCCATGTGTGTTGTAAGAGGCAACTAAAATGCTGGGAGCAAGGGGCTAGTAATCTCTTCTCCTGTATACATTACTAAATGTAAAAGGAGAAACTTTCGTTTTTCCTTTTGGGCCACCCCGCCTCAGTGGGATATGGACGGTGTGCTGAAAGAAAGAATATACATCACTAGAAAAAAAAAAAGAATATCCTCTGGGGCTCTTCATAGACCTATGTTAAGTATCTGATACAGTGGACCACAATCTCTTGCACCTAAAACTAGAAAACTATGAGATCAGAGGACATTCCCTTGATTACCTAAAATCTTATCTTAGCAACAGACACCAGTATGTCTACATAAATGGCATTACCTCTACCGCTCTGCCTCTAGTTGCTGAGTGCCACAGGGAAATGTCATTTACATCAATTACCTCCCAAACACATCCCAACTCCTTCAGCCAGTTCTATTCGCAGATGATACTACAGTGGACCCTCGGTTATCAGCCGTTCTGGATATCGGCCAACTCAGTTATCAGTTTTTTTTTTTTCGCTGAAATTTTATTCCGGTTATCGGCCGTTATTTCGCTTATCAGTCGTATTGGACGAGTCAGATATCCATTAAACGATGTGTTAACACATCAATTAATGGTTCCCCCATTTCAAGACACACTGAGGCCAAATTTCTAGTTTTCACCTTGACTGCAATCTTAAATTTCAGTCCCACATTCAACATACTGTATATCCAAGAAACTATCCAAAACAGTAGGCATCCTTTCCAAGATACATTACTATGTACCCCAAATGGCACTACTTACACTACACTATTCTCTAATCTACCCTTACCTCACCTATGGTATCTGTGCTTGGGAATCAACCACAGCCAATCAACTTAAACCTTTAATAACCCAACAAAAACAATGCTGTGCAGATGATGATCAACTCCTGCACCAGACAACACCCCATCACTCTTCAGAACATTAAACTCTAATAACAAAATAGATAGACTATATAACAAACATTGTCCCATAAAAACTAAACAGGTCATTAATAAAATACTAAGTTGCCCATGGCTTACTAACACCATCTTAAGATCTATCAATATGAAACATCATTATAAAAAACAATATAGAAGGGGCTTAATAACTAAAGAATTAATCAAACACTATACATCAGTCCTCACCAAATTAATCAGAAAATCCAAGCAACTATACTATTCTAACAGATTCACTGAAATGAGAGGTGATATTAAAAAGACCTGGAAAACACTCTCCAGATCCTGGGCACTACAAACCAAACAAAACTAGTAATGTTGTAGTAACTAAACCAAACGAACCTAAACTCCAGCCTACTGATACAGCTAACAAGATAAATGACTTCTTCTCAAACACAGGATCAAATCTTGCCAGTAAAATTCCAATTACCAATGCCCGAGCTAATGATTATCTAGATGGAAACTTCCCAACATCCCTCTACCTTGCACCAACAGAGCCCACTGAGATTACTGAGGAATCCTTTCCTAGATACGATACTATGTACCACAAACGACACTCCTTACCCTGTACCACTCTCTAATATACCCTTACCTCACCTATGGTATTTGTGCTTGAGGCTCAACCACAGCCAACCACCTTAGACCCTATATAACCCAACAAAAAGCTGCTGTGCGGGTGATAACCAGCTCCTGTGCTAGACAGCACACACCACCACTTTTCAAAAGACTCAACTTGCTAAATATACAAGACATACACTCATATTATTGTGCCTACTACATCTACAGAACATTAAACTCCACTGTTAAACCCTCCCCTAAAACTACTACTTGACAGTTACAACAGAATGCAGTCACAATACAAGGCATAAGGCACTTTTTAACATCCCTCGAGTCAGTCTCTCACTATGCAAGAATGCTATGCATATAAAGGGCCCGAAGATCTGGAACATGCTACCGGAACGGGTCAAGGATCCCCTGACAACTTATAAATTTAAGATTGCTAAAAAATCATCTTATCTCTCAATATTAAGCAAATCAACCAAAACATATGCTAATTAGTTTTATTACGTGACCTCTAGGCTTTCAATTCTGCCAATCCATAAAATATTACCACCTGAACCATTACTTGTAAGGTAGATTTTGTGTGCAATTTCAAGATTATTTTACCGAACCCTACTCCATCTTACTACCTCACATTTGTATTAAGTTTAAATAAAATTGTAAAACAGTTGACCACTACTTCTCGTCTAGTTTTAAGTATAGTTACTATGTACTATTATCTTATCTAGTTTGAATTAGTTACTATCAGGATTAGTCTGCCCAAAATGCCTCAGCATGATAATGGCTATCTTTGTACTTAGCAAATGAAAATTGTAATTACACATTGTAACCTTTACAAACAAATAAACTTTACTTTACTGTACTTTACTTACTTTACCATGATTATTAACTCTCTAAAAAACAAATCAAGAAATGTAACTCCAGTACCACCACCACTGTACAAACAAGCAGCTCAAATCCTTTTAAACAAATTACTAGTAACTAACACATTCCTGGCATCACTCAAAATAGCAAGGATAATGCCAGTACACAAAGGTGGTGACCCCCCCAACAGATGTAAACAATTATAGGCGGAGGTGTGGAGTTACTAAAAGTACTAGTCAGAGGGCTGAAGAGGGGTTGTTAAGGTGGTTTGGTCATTTAGAGAGAATGGATCAAAGTAGAATGACTTGGAGAGTGTATAAATCTGTACGGGAAGGAAGGAGGGGTAGGAGTCATCCTCGAAATAGTTGGAGGGAGGGGGAAAGGAGGTTTTGTGGGCGAGGGGCTTGGACTTCCAGCAAGTGTGTGTTAGCGTGTTAAATAAGGGTAAATGGAGACGTATGGTTTTTAGGACTTGACGAGCTGTTGGAGTGTGAGCAGGGTAATATTTAGTGAAGGGATTCAGGGAAACCGGTTATTATAGATGTAGCAGGACTTAGTCCTGGAAATGGGAAGTGCAATGCCTGCACTTTAAATTCAAATTCAAAGTTTATCCTCTATAAGGATTACAATGCTGAGTTTACAGAATTTGGTTATTTTGTGGTTTACATGTAGTAAAATACTAATTACAGAGGGGACCACTAGAACACCTAGCATGGCTAGGCATTTCGGGCAGACTAAGATTAATTCTTAACTTTAAAATATTACAAATTACGAGGTAAGTTGGTATTATGGCTAAGTGACTAAATACTAGTTTGTGAGTTTAGCAATGTGAATGCTTAAGGAGCTTAAAGGAGGGGTCTGGAATATAGATAGTTTGGAGGGACCGGTGGCCTGGTGGCTAAAGCTCCCGCTTCACACACGGAGGGCCCGGGTTCGATTCCCGGCGGGTGGAAACATTTCGACACGTTTCCTTACACCTGTTGTCCTGTTCACCTAGCAGCAAATAGGTACCTGAGTGTTAGTCGACTGGTGTGGGTCGCATCCTGGGGGACAAGATTAAGGACCCCAATGGAAATAAGTTAGACAGTCCTCGATGACGCACTGACTTTCTTGGGTTATCCTGGGTGGCTAACCCCCCCGGGGTTAAAAATCCGAACGAAATCTTATCTTATCTTAAACTGTTGTATCTGAGCCCCTCCGTAAAGACAATGATTACACATGAGTGAGGTGAAAGTGTTGAATGATGAAAGTATTTTCTTTTTGGGGATTTTTTCTTTCTTTTTGGGTCATCCTGCCTCAGTGGGAGATGGCCGACTTGTTGAAAAAAAAAAAAAATACATGAATGGGTGTGGGTGGGTGTGAGATGGACTTTACTAGCTTGTGCTACTAGGTCAGATGCCATGCTCCTTCCTTAAGTGAATGTGACCTGACCTGACTAGGTTGGGGCATTGGCTTGGGCTGGTGGGGGACTTGGACCTGTCTCGCATGGGCCAGTAGGCCCATGTTCTTATACAGATGCAGCTGACATCAATGACATACTATGTATACAGAAAGCCACATATTATGCAGAGCATTTGCAAATTAGGTTAATTTTGTCCCCCAGGATGTGTCATTAAAATAAATACAATGGAAAGCACAAACTAGTGATCAATGAACAAGGAAAAGACACTTAGTAAGGCGAGCATTCACTGGGAGACATTTCATTCCAGCAGCTTGGTAAATTAACGGACAAGACGTGTAAAACCTGGGTATTTTTACTGACAAGGTGTCTTGCCTGCACAGCAGGCATAATGATGGTATTCTATACTATTAGTGTAATGACCTCTAATAAAATCTCACCCTACTAAGGCCTCCTGTAACAATAAAAATACAAGCTTTCTTTGAATAACAAAGGTAAAAAATATATGCTTCTATGCAGTTCTTTTTTGAACAAGTGACTTCTAGCTTTTGTAATAAACTTTTCATATAACAATAAAGTAGTTATGCTGCACTGTGTATCATCACATACTGTATTACCAAACAAAGAAAAAGTAATATCTTACTCAGAAATGTAATTTCGTCTACGGTGTGTGTGTTCTAAGGAAGGTCTTGCTGTAGTCTTAGCATCACCAACAGGTTTATCATTGGTAAAGTTCCTCAAAACTGCTGTATTATTATCAAATTTCCTGAAGTTCCAATATGTATGTCCAATGAACCCAATATTACAGGCAAACAGAACTGTTATGGGGCCATAGAAGTACAAAAACAGTTCCAATTCACCTGGAAAAAATAAATCAGTACACACACAGAGCTTTCTTCATTTAGCTTGCATATTGCTGTTTAATATTAAAAGTTTTTTACAACTGCAAATTAGATAAAACTTAACACTTTAATTAAATATTAATAAAAATTATGCTCCCAAAATCTAATTTACTGTAACTTATCTGCAACCAACATCTCTAGATAAAATTGTAGAGAACTTGCATAAACCTATCTCATGAAGGGCTCCCTTGTTTGTCAGATAAAATATTGCTTTTGCATCAGTGACTTCAGTGAGCTGACTCATATGTCCATTACTCTTAGGGAGAATTGTGTTTCAAGAAAGTGCTAAACCTCTGTTGGTCATTCAGTGTTGCATGGCAAAAGGGGGGATTGGAAGAACTGTAGAGAAAGTCTCAAGTGGTTCATTATACAATCAGATTTACTTAAAATGTTAAGAAGAGAATTTGCAGTCGAAGTAGGCATAGCAGAGAGGCAGGATTTGGACTGACTTATTTTATGATTTAAAAAGCATTAGAACCATTTGTAAATATTTGCTGAACTTGTACATTTGCTATTATTACCAACTTACTGCTCCCATAAGTAATTTACTTTCATATCGCAGTAAATGGTATCAAAAGGTATTAAAATAATTAAAAATCAATTAAGTCACATTCAATTAAAATGAAAATAGTATCTCCACTATGTGAAAAACAAACTCTGCAGGAAGTGGCACACTAATGCTAATTACTCAAAATAATGAACATGCATGCTTGTGGATTTCTTTTGTATTTAACTATATTTTATAACAAGTAAACTACATTTTTTATACAGCACAAGGAAATAAAATGTTGGATTGTTTGTTAAAGAATGGGTTTTGTTGCAATAGTCTTTTTTACACAATGGAGGATTAGAGGATCTCACATTCAGGGGTCCAAGGGTGCCCCTTATTCACCAATGGATAGAGATGAGAAATAATGTAGCAAAATATAAGAGGAAGCAGTCAGTGTATGAGAGGGAAATACAGTCCAGAATTAGAGATGAATCATGCATTACACTGTATTACATAAGGTAAACAGTGCATTAGGGAAAAGACAAATGGTACTGAAGGACTGAGGGGATAATATGAATCTGACTGGTTACTCTACTAAAATAAAATTATTGGATACCATTCATATTAATATATTTTGTGCTTACCTCTGAACCAGCATTTTGCTTCACCAATGTAGGGCTTTAAAATTCCTGGTACATTATCTGGTGCTAGGTACTGCATACAGGCTGTAATAATTCTGTAAAATGGTGAAGAGGTATAATATTAGGAAAGATGTATAGTAAGACATGAAGTAGAGTCACTGTTCAGCAAAATACAGTTTCATTAAATAAAACCCACATTAAAAACTGAAAACTCAGACATACAAACCCAATCATGAATGGTCCTCCAAAGGCAAAGAGTGGATAGACCCAAACTGGCATAGCAGTTGAAGGTAGATATTTGCTCAGGCTCCTGTAGGAGAGGTCATTGTTGTTACATGCTACAGTAATAACAGTATCTTTAATGTAGCCCCTTCAAGATAGGGAAAGGGTTGTGCCTTGAAGCTAATAAAGGGCTGGACCTACACTTCCTTATCTCAAATCAAACCTGGTACCTCCCATTACTGAAGTGCAGCATAATCTTGATGGGGTTAACATTATCCCACATTATAATAATAATAGTTTTTTTGCTACTTTACTAATTTCCAAAAGCAAAGCATTCAGAAGACATCCATAATATAAATTAGGTAACTTTTGCAAACTTACTTAACTTTTCTCCAGACTTCGAAGCAGAGAACACTAAGCCAGAAGAATGCAGCAAGATATCCAAGCTGCATGACGAGTGCTGCAAAAGAAAAAAATATCATATCTCAAGTGTACTTTGAATCCAAAACTAAACATAACCATAATTATAAGTGTTCTAAATTTCTCTCTTCTTTACTTAGTGTTGTACAATACACAGTAATTAAAAATTATTAGATGACTCCTGCTGTCCACGTTTACCCATCAGTATAAAATGAGTACCTGGGTGTTAGTCGACTGGTGTGGGTCACCTCCTGGGACAAAACTGACCTAATTTGCCTGAAATGCTCTATACAGTAGTATGTCAAATAGATGCCAATAGATTGGGCCAGCAAACAAAGGGAGACAGCAGAGGGCAGCAAGGGACTAGCTCCCTTAAGGTTTACTATACTAATAGCAGGAGTGTAAGAAATAAGATAGATGAGCTAAGATTAATTGCAAGTGCAGGAAACATAGATATTATTGCTATAACAGAGACCTGGCTCAATCTGAAAGATAGAGAGATGCCTTCTGAATGTCACATACAAGGCTATAAATTATTCCACACTGACAGGGTCAACAGGAAGGGTGGTGGAGCAGCAATGTATGTCAGAGGCAATTTAAATTGTTATGTTAGACAAGATATAAAATTAGAAGCGTGAGCCACTGAATATGTTTGGTTACAGCTTCTCGAGGGCCGTGAAAAACTAATTTTGGGTGTGATTTACAGGGCCCCAAATCTTGAGAGGGAGTGCAGTAAACTTCTATGGGACGAAATTCGTAAGGCATCTACATACGAATATGTTGTGCTAATGGGAGATTTCAACTATAGACAGACTGACTGGAGCAATTTGACAGGAAATTTAGTCAAGTGACTTTCTTGATACGATTCAGGATTGTTTTTTAAAACAGCTTGTGACAGAACGAACTAGAGGAAATAACCTGCTTGACTTAGTTCTTGCCAGCAGGGAAACACTAATTAATAATCTTGAGGTTAATGATGAGCTTGGAGAAAGTGATCACAAATCACTCAGTTTAATATATCATGGAATTCCCCTAATAATGGCAATCAATCTCTGTCCCTGACTTCCACTTGGCTGATTTCATAGGACTGAAAAATTACTTGGGTGGGCTGAACTGGAATGACCTGACTATGGGTCAGGTAGGTGGTGATGACTGCTGATATGACATTTTCCAGGGTATAGTTCTAGCTGCTCAAACAACTTATGTTCCAAATAGGGAAATCAGATCAAACAAAAATGATCCTAAATGGATGAACAATAGATTAAAACATCTAACTGGTCAAAAGAGAGGCATATATAGGCAAATCAAAAGAGGAGAGGGGCAATTAAGAAATCAATATATTCAGTTAAAGAGAAATAAAGAAAGGGGATAAGAAAAACAAAGAGAGATTATGAGGTTAAAGTTGCAAGAGAATCGAAGACTAACCCAAAAGGATTATTTCAGGTATACAGGAGTAAGATCAGGGACAAGATAGGCCCACTCAAAAGTTACTTGGGTCAGCTCATGGACAGTGATAAGGAAATGTGTAGAATTTTTAACACATACTTCCTCTCAGTTTTTACACAGGAAGATACTAGCTATATTCCAGAAATAATAAATTATGTAGAACAGGACGATAATAAACTATGCATGATTAGGGTCACAAGTGACATGGTGTTTAGGCAAATAGATAAATTAAAACCTAATAAATCCACAGGCCCTGATGAACTGTATGCAAGGGTTCTAAAGGAATGTAAGGAGCAGCTCAGCAAACCTTTGGCTAATCTTTTCAATATATCACTACAAACTGGCATGGTGCCAGATAAGTGGAAAATGGCAAATGTGATACCTATTTTCAAAGCAGGTGAGAGGTCCTTAGCTTCAAACTACAGACCAATAAGCCTAACCTCCATAGTGGGAAAATTTATGGAATCAATAACTGCCGAGGCAGTTAGCAGCCACCTTGAAAAGCATAAATTAATCAACGAATCTCAGCATGGTTTTGCAAAGGGGCATTCCTGCTTTACGAATTTATTAACTTTTTTCACTAAGGTATTTGAGGAGGTAGATCATGGTAATGAATATGATATTGCATATATGGACTACAGTAAAGCTTCTGACAGGGTCCCACATCAGAGACTAATGAGGAAAATTAAGGCACATGGAATAGGAGGAGACATTTTTACCTGGATAGAGGCATTGTTGACAAATAGGCAGCAGAGAGTTTGCATAAATGGGGAGAAATCAGAGTGGTGAAGCGTCAGTGCTGGGCCCCCTGTTGTTCACAATCTACATAAACGACATAGATGAGAGCATAAAGAGCAACATAAGCAAGTTTGCTGATGACACCAAAATAGGCCATCGAATTCATTCTGACGAGGACATTAGAGCACTCCAGGAATATTTGAATACTGATGCTGTGGTCGGAGAAGTGGCAGATGCAGTTTAATATAGACAAATGCAAAGTTCTAAATGTTGGACAGGACAATAACCATGCCACATATAAACTAAATAATGTAGATCTTAATATTATGGATTGCGAAAAAGATTTAGGAGTTTTGGTTAGCAGTAATCTGAAACCAAGACAACAGTGCATAAGTGTTCGCAATAAAGCTAACAGAATCCTTGGCTTCTTATCAAGAAGCATAAATAATAGGAGTCCTCAGGTTGTTCTTCAACTATATACTGTATCCTTGGTTAGGCCTCATTTAGATTATGCTGCACAGTTTTGGTCACCGTATTACAGAATGGATATAAATGCTCTGGAAAACGTACAAAGGAGGATGACAAAGTTAATCACATGTACCAGAAATCTTCCCTATGAGGATAGACTGAGGGCCCTGAATCTGCACTCTCTACAAAGGTGTAGAATTAGGGGGGATATGATTATTTCTTTCTTTCAACACACCGGCCGTATCCCACCGAGGCAGGGTGGCCCAGAAGGAAAAATTAAAGTTTCTCCTTTTACATTTAGTAATATATACAGGAGTAGGGGTTACTAGCCCCCTTGCTCCCAGCATTTTAGTCATCTCTTACAACACACATGGCTTACAGAGGAAGAATTCTGTTCCACTTCCCCATGGAAGTAAGAGGAAATAAACAAGAACAAGAACTAGAAAGAAAATAGAAGAAAACCCAAAGAGGTGTGTATATATATGCTTGTACATGTATGTGTAGTATGAGCTAAGTGTAAGTAGAAGTAGCCAGATGGCCACAGCACCAGCATTTGCAACATTTAAATAATGTTTGAGCTTCCTCTGCGGCAAGCATTGCCTGCTGTATGTACCTAGGGAGGGTGGGAGAGAATAAAGTTCATGGCCAGTAAACATTCCCACTTTGTAAAGGGTGGCAGTAGATGTCTTTGGCGATATAGATCGTTCAGGCAAAGCTTAGAGATTCACTGTTTGTAATAAGAAAGCTTGTCCACTGTAGTGTTTATAAGATTTCCATCCACGGAAGAGGTTTCCAGGTTGAACTAGCCTATATGCACTCGTACGTGGTTAGAGAAGTCGAACTTTAGCTGTTGGCCCAGTTTCTCAACTAACCCCTTGCAAGATTCAAGTGCCAGATGGACTATTGTCACACCTTCCGTCATTATGTACTGGAGTGCGATAAAATTAATGAATTTAGAGAACTCACTCAGAAATGTTCAAGAAATGGCAAAGTATTGTATCCACAGTGGTATATTACAAACCATTCTGGAGAAATACCCTGACTTTGCTAACTGTAAATAAAGCATTACCACACGCGTGTGTGTGTGTACTCACCTAGTTGAGGTTGCAGGGGTCGAGTCCAAGCTCCTGTGTGTGTGTGTGTGTACTCACCTAGTTGAGGTTGCAGGGGTCGAGTTCAGCTCCTGGCCCCGCCTCTTCACTGGTCTCTACTAGGTCACTCCCCCTGAACCGTGAGCTTTATCATACCTCTGCTTAAAGCTATGTATGGATCCTGCCTCCACTACATCGCTTCCCAAACTATTCCACTTCCTGACTACTCTGTGTCTGAAGAAATACTTCCTAACATCCCTGTGGTGTGTGTGTGTGTGCTTGTGCTCACCTATTTGTGGTTGCAGGGGTAGAGTCTTAGCTCCTCGCCCCGCCTCTTCACCGGTTGCTACTGGGCCCTCTCTCTCCCCGCGTGTGTGTGCTTGTGTGTATGCATGTGTGTACGCTCTTGTGCATGTGTCTGTGCGTGCGCCCTCGTGTGTGTATGTGTGCGCTCGTGTGGGTGTATGATCCACTTAATATTTGTATTTATAACTCATTACAATTGTGACCAGGTGTGGACGTGTCAGTGGCTCATTACTTTGTAATTTGTTCATGACTGGAACCATGTATAGGAGTGAGGCTGATTCATTACCTTTGTAACTTGCCATGATTGTGACCAGATCTACCTGGAGTTCATTACCTTTGTAACTAGGTACATTATGTACCTCTGTAATCTTTTGACTACCGCCCACAGGATGGGTATGGGGTGCATAATAAACATATTAAACTAAACTGCGCGTGTCCCATCATAAGAGGAATGGCTCACCTTAGGTAATTCAATTAAATGAGCAATGATCGTAATGAAGAACCGTAATTAATATCATTGGTACTTGACAGAATTGAGACAATGAAATAGGAATGCATGACAAATATACTCGAGTAAAGGCAGTCAGTGGAAATTACATTAACCCAAGCTAAAAACACAACCAACTATCCACAAACTATCAGGCTCTTCAAACCATACCACGGGTGGGGAGAGAACCCGCGATCATAACTATCATAGCTATCATAACTTTGGGGTCCAGTCACTGGACCCATTATGTACCTTTGTAATCTTTTGACTACCGCCCACAGGATGGGTATGGGGTGCATAAAGATATTAAACTAAAGTGAGTGAGTGAGTGAGTGAGTGAGTGAGTGAGTGTGTGTGTGTGTGTGTGTGTGTGTGTGTGTGTGTGTGTGTGTGTGTGTGTGTGTGTGTGTGTGTGTGTGTGTGTGAGAGAGAGAGAACTCAACAATCAATATTTGCACCAATAACTCATTACAATTGTGACCGGGTGTGGAAGTGTGAATTGCTCATTACTCTATAATTTGTTCATGATTGTAGCCAAAGTATAAACGTAAGTAACCATTCTACAGAATTCATTACCTTTGTAACTTGTGAGCTCATTGCCTTTGTACCTAGTTCAGCTATCAAAACTTTGGGGGCCCAGTCCCTGGACCCATTACGTACCTCTGTAATCTGTAAATACCTTTGTAACTTGTCATGATTGTGACCAGACTTACCTGGAGTTCATTACCTTTGTAAATTGTGAGTTCATTACCTTTGTAAATTGTGAGTTCATTACCTTTGTAAATTGTGAGTTCATTGCCTCTGTAACTTGCTCAGCTATCAAAACTTTGGAGTCCAGTCCCTGGACCAATTATGTACCTCTGTAATCTTTTGACTACCGCCCACAGGATGGGTATGGGGTGCATAATAAACATATTAAACTAAAACTAACCCCCCCCCCCGGACACAAATTAGCTCTAAATAACTATGTGAGGTCTCATATACCTGATATTCGACTAATACTGAATAGGAAATACTTCACAAAAGGGTGGATGTTGGATTAAGTTCATTGCCCCAGACCGACAAAATGAGATTAGTCACGAGGGAGCCTTCACCAAATTCAACTTCAATAACAAGAACACAAAGTGGGACCAAGTAAACCAAGTCCTAAACGATATAAGCTGGGAAGATAGACTAAGCAAGAGACCCCAACTTATGCCTAGAACAGTTTAACTCGATGTATGCTCAAGGCTTATTTATTCCTTTAAGAAAAAGGAGAAGTAGATGTAAAATAGACAGACTGGCGCTCCCTTTACAGGTGACGGAAAAGAATAACAGAGCGGCTGAAAGAGGCCAATATATCTGAAATGCGTAGGGAGTCACTGGTCAAAGAAATAGCAAACATCGAACTTAAGCTAAAGGAATCTTATAGAAGTCAGGAATCGCAGGAAGAACTAAAAGCCATAAATGAAATCGAAAGAAGCCCAAAGTATTTCTTTTCTTATGCCAAATCAAAGTCGAGAACAACATCCAGTACTGGGCCCCTACACAGATGACAGCAAGGAAATGAGTGAGCTACTCAAGTCCCAATATGACGGGATACACACACATTATGAATTACCAATTTTTCTCGAATAAATTAATTTAAACATTAAAATAAAATAGATAATACGAATTCATATGTTTAAAGAATGTGAATTAATCTAACTAACAATTAAGCAAAAAAAATAGTTATGAAGAGAAACTTACCTAATATGACACAAGTCAAATCATTCAAGTGCCTATTGAAGATCCTTTGGCATAGGGTACAAGCATATGCTACCATAAGGGAGAGAACATGCCAGAGCTGGTACCATCCACCATTATTAAGAAGTTCTGGCACCTTGATGTAACATAAAACTGTCAGACACAGGAAAACCAACGAGATGATATGACACGCGGGTAACAATGTCACACGAATTTTGTCCCACTCTGAAAGCACACTCAGACATGCTAAACCACTGTCTTCTATCTTCCCCTTGCCATCGTGGAATGTATCAATGCAGTAGTCAGTAGAGGGTAAAATTCTTCCTGGATAAATAAGATGTCCCGTTTCGTCCAGAGTAAAATTAGTCACTTGAGTTTGAGGTACACAAAGTGGGAATCCAAACACTGTCTTGTATGGTTGCGTGATGTTGATGGGCGGTGTAAAAGTTGTATTATTATAATGTACACATCTGTGGAGGGAAGTGTCCATTATTTGTCCATAATTACAACACTTGCGGACACAAATGTTACCATCACAAATTCTGTGGTGACGTTCTTCCGGGTTACTGTAACACAAGTTGGCTGTGTATGTAAGAGATCCATCCAGATTCTCCCGTCCATCTACACAAAATTCAGGAGGAAATGTGTATTTTCGTTCGGCTGTGTCCTCAGATAACACCCAGGTGTGTATGACACCTGTTGGGAGGGCCACTAGGTGGGATACTTCAGAGCCCAGTAACAATGTTTTCATAGGATCCTCGGTGCAGTTGAGTGGGTTGTAGTGGTTTCTGATAACTGGCCACTGGACGCTGTCCTTGAAGGGCCCAGCAGACAGTGGAGGCAACAGTAGAGGTGGAGATGGTGTTACGCTACACACACCATCACTGAGAGCTTCACCAACGGGGCAGCAACGCGGTATAGAGGGAGGGGGGACACACGCCTTTAGTATCGATGCGAGATTCCCCTTCTCGTCCAAAGAATGGCTGACACAATAGTTGTTGATGCGCAAACCACTCAGATAACCAGCAGTGTCTGAGAGCACAATGTCTCCGCGAGTTCGAAGGTAAAACTGCCCTTCTGTAAACATCATTTCTCTATGGTCGTCCTTCATATTGCAGTCTAGATCTTGCACAATAACATTCAGCTCGGTAACTGATTTCTGCAAATACAAGAAAAAATATTAGACAAGATTTGCAGTATATTGTGTTTCGGCAGACATGATCTCAATAATAAGGTAAAGCATTAATGAAAAGACAGGAATAGTACAAGTAAATCAGGCTTCATTAACAAGCTATTAATGTTGCGCTAAATTATATATCCAATTGTTAAAGGGGTGGACTGGTAAGCCTACTGAATTGAGATCTCTGTCAGAAGACCAAATGTTCCAGTGGCGGGCCATCGCATGACTATGACCCGCGTCAGGAAACGCCTGTTCTGTTTCCTAGTGAGTTGCTTAATCTTAACCACACTACTCCGAGCTTTTGAAATACTGTAGCCTACTGAAAACAACTCGGTAAAAAGTCACAAAATAAAACACGTGTCTTATTCTTGCTAACTACTCGAGTTATGAACAGTTAAGTCAGAGTTATAATGATTCAAAATCGCTTAATGATTCTGAAACCACTTGTGTTAACCGTAGTTCTGTTGCACTGATAATCATGGTATCAAAAGCTCATACGCTCTAAACTCAAGTATAAAAGTCACGTCATGTCTCCCTGGCCTCTGCTTTTACATTGATATTGGTTGGGGGATTGATCTCAAAATAAGTACTTCACTTATTCCAATCTCCATTGTAATGAAGCCTGCTGTACAGGCGAAACAGTTTTGGCAAAACAATGCCCAAGTGTTGCATTTGTGAGTATTGTATTAATATAATATAAGTGGCTTTGGCATGCTGCTCTTACCTGTATTTTTTTGTACCTCTGTATGTATGCTAAAATTTCTAAATAAATAAATAAATAATAACAGAGTTGCACGAGAAATCTTGTTATTGTGTATCATGTGTGCAGTCAAGTTACTGGTCAAATCGAAGGTTCTAAATACAAATGAGCCAAATGCATGTCACCCACTGTGTCAGGTTAAAAAAAAAAAAAAATGTACCGTGAAAGGGGAAACCTAGGAACTTCAGAAGCCTCACGTGTATTTAAGATGTGAAGTTACTTCATCAGTATTTCCTAGACGCACCGTTCCCAGGAAGGGCCCCTCCACTTTGTGCGGTATCAGTAAGCGAAAGGTTCTTGATCTAAGTTACTGGAGCTACCTCGCCTTATTTGGGCGCTGTATAACTGCGGATTTAGAGTTTTACTATTATTTTCATGGTAGGGGTGTTAAAACCGTAGGAGTCATATAGCGCCTGGGGTGAACGGGAGGCAATAAGGTTCGATCCAAGGAAATATAGGTACAATTTCTTGGATCAACAGCCCCTCACCTGCATGAGGCGCCGTAAATACATAAATGACTTGTTCGACTGTGGGAGGGAGGGGGAGAGGAGCACCCGTTGCTCAGTGGTCAGTCTTCTCCTCACAACCGCAAGATTCCGAGCCATGTACATGAATAGACAAAGGACAAAAAGGCACAATACCATGACTGGAATACACAAATAACCCGCACATAGGAGAGAAGCTCACGACAACGTTTCGGTCCGGCTTGGACCGAAACGTTGTCGTGCAGTACCGTTTACAGCCCTATGGTGGGGACACGGTGAGTCCTCTTCAGGTCAAGTGGAGTACCGCTTACAGCCCTATGGCGGGGGCAGCCCTTCAACAAGGGCACGGTGACTATCAACTCCATTTGAGCCATTCCTGGCACTCAGGCTTCAGCCCGAGTGCCAGAACGACTCTGGAGTTACTGGAGGTGTTGAGACGTTTCGGTCTGACTTGGACCATTGACAAGTCACACTAACACAAAAGAGTGAGGGAGCCAGTATATTTGGGCAAAGGGGAGGGGACGGACGGGACGAAGAGAGGAAGAAATAGTAGTGGTGGTAATGTTAATACTAGCAGTAGAAGTAATAATAGTAGAAAGTAGTTTTGGGGGCACAAGAGAAACGGGAGTGAAGAGAAGCAATAGCAGTGGTAGTAGGAATAGTAGTAGAAATGGAGTGGTAGTAGTAGAAATGGGGTAAGTCTAAGAACAAGAAAAAAATAGGAGCACTGCAGGAGAGCTAAGGGCCCAAGAAAGGTAGGACCAAAAATACAGAAGGTAAGGAACTGAAGGACAGCACACGCTTAGGTAAAAGAAACGAAAGCAAATAAAAAATTAAAATAAAAAAGTAGGAGAGGAGAGGAGGTAGGGAGAGGAGGAGAAGAATGAATCAGGTAAAGTTTACAGTATTCTGAAGTTTGGAGCACTTGACAATATAATGAGAAAGGAAGACATCTACAAATCCAGGACTAAGATTCATACTAGGAAAGTTGTGTATACGGGATGTCTTAACAAAACGGCGACTGTGATCTCGAACATAACAGAAGAGCATTCCTGGTGTAGGCAAGCCTAACACTTTTTGTGTTCTTTAAGTGTTCTTTAAGCCAGTTTATTCAAAGTATTAAAGAGAACAAGAGGAGAATGAAATAGAGTAACACCAGAGGCATCTATTGCAGGAGAGGTACGAACTAGATTACTGCAGGAGGAGAGGTACGAACTAGATTACTGCAGGAGGAGAGGTACGAACTAGATTACTGCAGGAGGAGAGGTACGAACTAGATTACTGCAGGAGGAGAGGTACGAACTAGATTACAAAGGTGTTAGTCTGGCGAAAAGTAACCGGCAAGCATTAACGTACCATAACCAATAGTTGTATATTAATATAGCACCAAGCCTGCCTCCTGGAAAATTGGATGAAGTCTGCGATATAAAAAGTCGGTGATTTCACCGGATACCCATGTATTTGTAGATGAATGGCTCAGAGAAGCGACAAGTTGATAAATTAAGACGAATGTGCAACATATGGGTGTCTTTAAAGAAACGTTTCGCCACAGTGGCTTCATTAGCCCATACAAAGGGGAATGGTGAAGAACAGGAGTATGAGGTGATCAGTCCCTCAGCCTTGAGTCGATGTGATCAGTCCATCAATCGTTCCAAGATTGATGGATTGATTAAATGTTAAATCGTGCACTGTACGAGCAAATCAGGAGTTCCTATGGATTCAGAGAGGGGTGGGTGGGTTATGTGGGGTTGGAGGAGGCATGTCTGTTGTATCTGCTTCCTGATAATTGCCCCAATGGAAATCAAGGACCTCCAATGGAAATAAGTAACTTTGGTTTTTCTTAGGTTATCTTAGGTAATTTACACTGTAGATAATTATACTTAGGTACTTATGCCTAAAAACTTGCGCCTGCGGCCCAATCTCAGACCAGGTTTTCTAAATTTTAAATTAAATATAATACAAAGAAATACAAACACAAGAAAGTCAAATGTATACTGAACGCTAGTAAGATTTACCCTACATTTTGAAGAAGACTAACAATCCCGACAATGCAAAACTGTGTTTATCAAACTGTTTTCTAACCAGGTTTTAGAAACAAAACAAAGAAATATCCTTAGGCACACCACAGGGAGGAGTTATCTATCCCACATTATTTAATGTCCTGATTAATGCTCTCCTAAATACTATACCTGCTTTACCCAAACATAGCTATAAGCCATGCTGATGACATGATCCACACAAGACGTACGAAAATTTGCGTCATTCTTAATGAAGTTCAAGCAATTTATAATCGACAAGGCCTCGTCATATAGTCATCACTGAAGAAGATATTGACAAGCAAACGCCATTCCCCATTCATCTATTTGCATCGTAAAAAGATCAGCTGCCTTAAATCAGATATATCCTGGTGTAGACGTACGTGTGAAAAAATATTATTAGCAAATCACCTGCAGGAGACTTACCTGAAAGTAATTTGGTTGAGGTAAGTGGGACTTAAGTCACAGTAGGTCACTGAACCGCAACTCCCTCAACTGCCCACTACTTTCACAAAAAGCTAGACTTAACATTAAATTAATAATTACAATATTAAAACTAGCTACTCTGGTAATTAAGGTTATGTGGACTGTATAGGATTAGGCTTGCTGGGGACACAATATAATTATTATACATAATTATTAGTGTTTTTAAAAAAGAACTTTGTATACCACTTACCATTCAATTATTGCAGATGAATCACACCACATCTGCCTAATATCTAGAACCTACACTGGCCAGCTAGATCTAAATGAAAGGTGTACCATTGAGTGATGTCTGCACTTATTTTGCCATTCACACGTAATTCTGAGGTCCCGCAAATTTCCTGTCCCAATTCTTCTGCAGGAATGTGTCAGCAATTTCCAAATTACGAACTGAGGTCGATACACCCCATTAGGCCTCCGAGAACGCCCGATTACAATGCACAATTAAGACCAGTCTTCACACATTAAATTCAATATGGCGTCCCTCCTTGGCATCAGTCTCTGGCTCTTCCATACCCCCCTTCACTTCAATTTTTCAAAGGGTCAAATCAGCATCATATTTTATTACACGATTATTGTATTATTTATTTTATATTATTATTATCACACTGGCCGATTCCCTCTTGCCAAGACCCTTGCATTTACTTCTCTTACAACCCCATCTATAAATATATTAAACAACCACGGTGACATCACGCATCCTTGTCTAAGGCCTACTTTTACTGGGAAATAATTTCCCTCTTTCCTACATACTCTAACTTGAGCCTCACTATCCTCATAAAAACTCTTCACTGCTTTCAGTAACCTACCTCCTACACCATACACCTGCAACATCTGCCACATTGCCCCCCTATCCACCCTGTCATACGTCTTTTCCAAATCCATAAATGCCACAAAGACCTCTTTAGCCTTATCTAAATACTGTTCACTTATATGTTTCACTGTAAACACCTGGTCCACACACCCCTACCCTTCCTAAATTATTATTATAATCAAAAAGAAGCGCTAAGCCACAAGGGCTATACAGCGCTGCAGGGTAGGGAAGGAAGCGAGGGTATTGGATGGCAGAAGGGAGGAGGGATGATCAGTAGGTTACAGAAAACAGCGGGGCAGGGGATAGCACGGGGGTAGAGGATAGCAAGAGATTGAAGTAGAAAGGGCTGAAGGTATCAGAATTTGTGAAGTCAGTTGTTGTCAAAAAGTCAATGAGAGTCC